TACATACATACATACATACATACATACATACATACATACATACATACTAGGTGCATTCCTAGTGCCTGGAAGAGAGAGTCCATATCCCTAGTACTGGAGTTACAAATGGTTACAATGTAGGTGCTGGGAATTTAATCCAAGTCCTCTAGAAGAGTAGCAAGTGCTCTTGACCACTGAGCCATATCTATAGCCCTGTATGTGTTATTTTAAAAGGAATAGTGAAAATCATCAGAAAATAAAAAGATGAGACCAAAGTCGGCTAGAGAGCCTTTCCACTGAGTGACAGGTACGGTTAATATGTTGGTATACTTCCTCTGACTTGTTCTCTCTATGTTCAGGTTTTACTTTTTTTTTTTTTTTTTTGGTTCCTTGCTTTTTTTCACTTAACATTATAGCATACGCATTTTCTACTTTAAGAAAAACTTATTAGAAACCTGGTTACCTATGTTTTCAGCCCAAGGAGCACCAGCCACCAATTTATTTCTATTGGAATACTCCCCATTTTCAAGCGTATAATTTCAGTGGAATTTAACATGTTCACATTGGTATATAATCATTATCACTATGTCATTTCAGAATATTTCCTTCATCCACCTCCCCCCAAAAAAAGGATGTACCCATCCAGTAGTGGGTCTGTCTATGATTGCCTTTCCCCAGGCCCCTGGTAACTTGTAAGCTGTTTTCAAGCTCTATGGATTTGCCTATTCTGGGCAGTTCAGTTAGCTGGTTAGTTTTAAACATCAACTTGACACAACTTAAAAATCACCTGGGAAGAGTCCCAAGTAAGGAATTACTCCAACAGAACATGAGTGACTGTTATTAATTAACGTAGGCCACCATAACAATAAGCCACAAAATCAGATATGGTGATGCACACCTTTAATCCCAGCACTCAGGAAGGCAGAGGCAGGTGGATAGCTGTGAGTTCAAGGCCAGCCTGGACTACAAAGCCAGGTCCAAGACAACCAAGGCTACATAGAGTAACCCTTTCTCAAAAATC